ATTCATGTTTGTCATCATTCGTAAAACCATTTTTTCTAATTGGTGTATAGGTCATTTTCCAAATTGATAGACGGTGATACGTAAAGGACCAATAACCATTTTCCTAGCTGCGGACCATAAATGATAGTCTTCACCAACTATTTTTCTGTTTCATTAAAAATCTTGGGACCACCAAATTGTCTCTCATGTTTTGGCAAAAAAAATCTTTCTTGTCTATCACACATTCTAAAATGAAGCAAATTAGCTTCGGGATGACAATCTGATATAGATTTTAGGGATAACATTGGAACATTACTTTAATTTTTTTTTTTAAATCTAGCAGACACCTAATATGCGCATGACATTAAGTCAACATAAAAAGAGAAAAAACTAAAAATTATAACATAAAAAACAAACCCTTCTTTTTTTAAAAAATTAAAATTTTTTGAGAAAATGGCATTAAAACAACATAAAAAAGGGAAAATTTGGGAACAGATTAAACAGAACTCACCTAAGCCAACCGGCAAATTTTAGCATATCAAGATTCTTGTGATTTCTATTAATTGGGAACATTACTTTAAATTTTTTTTTCTAAATCTAGCAGACACCTGATATGCACATATGACATTAAGTCAACATAAAAAAAAGAAAAAACTAAAAATTATAACATAAAAAAGCAAACCCTTCTTTTTAAAAAAATTAAAAATTTTTTAAGAAAACGGCATTAAAACAACATAAAAAGGGAAAAATTGGGAATAGATTAAACAGAACTCACCCAAGCCAAATGACAGATTCTTGTGATTTGTGTTAATTGGGACGATCCACACAAATGAAGGCATCCTGTTAATCATCATCTCTGGTAGATGATCACATTAATCCCAGCTTTCACGGTTTGAAAAGTATTAGTCATGGTTGATATGCGTAAATTGTAAAGCTTGTGGAAGCTTACTTGAACATTTCAGTATTAAGTTCTGACAACGAGGTTTAGCTCCAAGAATATACCAAGAAAATTAAGCCCCATTAGTTCCAATTGTGTGGGCTATATACAAGATTCTATTACAGCCCAAAACATTGTTCCCATTTGGCAGAAACTTTGTTGACCTTGGTTGATCAGTCCTTGGTTTTGATGATTAACAAATCAAAATGTAGATTTGGACTAATGTTTTTATGTGAGAATTTTGTTAGAACAGGTCATTGATCCAAAAGAGAATCGAAAAGATTTGAATCATAGAGAAGTTAAGAAATATGAAGGTTCGGACGTAGAGGATCGGACGCTCGATAGAGGATCGGTCGTCCGACTGACGACGATACTCTTCGGACGCTTGGATCGGACGGTCATGCATTGCTTCGGCCGTCCGACACAAAAAGAATGAACGTTGAACATTCTGATTTCCATCGGACGCAGGGTTCAGACGCAGAACAAATGGTTCGGACGTCCGATAGGTGGTTTGGACGCATGGTTCGGACGTCCGACAGGCTAACGGCTAGTTTCGACAGCATTTAATATTTGACCGTTGGAGAGCCTTTTGGAGCCATTTCTCACATTTTATAAATACCCCAAAGCACAAGAAGACATGGACTTTTTGCCAATACTAAATACAAGCTTACAAGTGAGATCTTTGAGTAGAAATATTCTTTGTTGGTCGTATAAGGGGTTGGGAAAGTTGGGTTGTGAGGTTGCTCAAGCGAAGGTTATTCTCTAGGAGGAGTAAAACCTTGGTGAAGCTGAACCTATCACTTGGAGTGGTAAAACCTTGATAAAGGTTGCCTCACTTGTATAAAGTAGTTCTTAATTGAATGGGTAAGCTTTCAATTGTAACTAGTTGAGGGTTTACTTGGAGAGTAGTAAAATTCCTTTGCTCAACCAAAGTATGTTTGGGGTGAGGAAGGAGTGAGTCTTCACTTGTATAAGTTGGTTAGCACTACCATCTATTGAAGAAACTATTTGGTGGATTCAACTCCAAGTTTGGAAGAACCTTGGGAGTTTGATTGGTTTGAATTTCTTTTACTTTATTGTTACTCTATTTTTGTGCTTTAAAATTGCTTATATTTTTTGTCATTGTATTTACTTGACTACTTGTCTGGTTGAGTATTTTGGTTGTATTTGGTTGCATCGGGGCTTACAATTGGTATCAGAGTTTGGTCTCCTAGAGATTAAGCTTAACCGCTTAGAGTAAAGATCATGGCAACCATAAAAGTTTCCTTTTTAGAAGGGCAATCTATTGATAGACCACCTATGTTTAATGGTTCTCATTTTTGCATGTGAAAACAAAGAATGATGATTTTCTTACAATCCGTTTATATTGAATTATGGTATGTGGTAGAAGATTGTCCTTATGAATCTAGAATAGTTGACTCTACCATTAATTTGAGTAGATTAAAGACTAGACAAGAATTGAATGAAAAAGACAAGAGATACCTTTCTTTGAATGCCAAGGCCATGTATATATTGTACAATGCATTAGATGTAAATGAATCTAGTAGGATTAAAGGTTGTAAATCAGCTAAAGATATTTGGGATAAATTGTGTGAATTTCATGAAGGTAACCAAGATATTAAAGAATAAAAGAAATCTTTGCTTGTTTCTCAATATGAATTTTTCAAAATGCATCCTCTTGAAAATGTTGATAAGATGTGTAGTAGATTTTGTGACATTATTCAAGATCTTAAATTGCTTGGAAAAGAATATTCTTTGGGTGAGAAAAATAGAAAGATTTTGAATGCCTTGCCAAAAGAATGGGAAAACAAAATAAATGCTATAGAAGAGGCAAAGGATTTAAATTCTATGTCCATTGAATCTCTTGTGAATTCCCTAACCTGTTATGAATTAAAGCTGAAATTCAAAGTGCAAGAGGAAGAAAATGCAAGAATGTATAAGAGAGGCATAGCTTTTAAAGCATCTCAAGTGGAGGATAACCCATCCTTCATGGGTAATGAAAACATGGAAGTGGACAATGATATAACTCCTCACATCAAAAGTTTCAAGAAGATCTTCAACAAGAGAAGTTCAAGAGGAGATTACAAAATTACATGGGATAAATGCAATTAAAAAAGAGAAAAAGAAGAGTTGACCCAAATGGCACTAATGGCCTTTGGAGAAGATGGGGTAAATTCTTATCACTCTTCTAGTGATGAAGATAATGAAGATGATGATGTGCAAATTCTTATGATTAAAATGCATAAAAGTTTGAGAGAATCTTATGCTAAAAATAAAGATTTGAAAACAAAAATAAATGATTTGTTGGAAGAAAACTCCAAACTTTTTCAAGAAAACAAATGTTTGAGAATGGAAAATGATGATTTAAAAAATCAAAAAGGTGTTTTTGATTGCAAAAATAATTTGAAAAGGAAGTTGGAAGAGAAAACAAAGTTTTATGAAAAAATGTTGGAGGAACAAAATTTGTTAAAGAAAAGAATTAATGACTTGAACGAGTTTCTCCAAAATGAAAAACAAAAGTTTTCTCAAACAAAAGAAAGCATATCTTTTCAAGGCACAAATAAGTTTGCTATGATAAGAAGTAAGAAAATTAGTTGCATTAAACCCACTTATGTGCAAAATACTTCTATCATGTGTCACTTTTGTTGCAAATTTGGACATATGCAAAATGATTGCTATGTAAAGAAAAATATGAGAAAATGTATGAAATCCATGTGGATTGCTAGATCATGTTGTACTAACTCCCAAGGACCCTATAAAAAATTACAATTGGTATTTTGAAAGTTTTGACATTCTATATGGTCTTGATTTGAAAAATAAAGGGGGAGTTTGCTTTTTGATTGATGCCAAAAGGGGGAGTAGGATTTATTGAAATTTCTTTGTATGTTGGCATTTTCTAAGGGGGAGTTTTATTTGAACTTATTTGTTCAAAGAAATCTTCATTTTGTTTGTCACCATAAAAAAGGGGGAGATTGTTGACCTTGGTTGATCAGTCCTTGGTTTTGATGATTAACAAACCAAAATGTAGATTTGGACTAATATTTTTATGTGAGAAATTTGTTAGAACAGGTCATTGATCCAAAAGAGAATCGAAAAGATTTGAATCATAGAGAAGTTAAGAAATATGAAGGTTCGGACGTAGAGGATCGGACGCTCGATAGAGGATCGGTCGTCCGACTGACGACGATACTCTTCGGACGCTTGGATCGGACGCTCATTCATTGCTTCGGCCGTCCGACACAAAAAGAATGAACGTTGAACATTCTGATTTCTATCGGACGCAGGGTTCGGACGCAGAACAAATGGTTCGGACGTCCGATAGGTGGTTCGGACGTCCGATAGGTGGTTCGGACGCATGGTTCGGACGTCCGACAGGTCAACGGCTAGTTTCGACAGCATTTAATATTTGACCGTTGGAGAGCCTTTTGGAGCCATTTCTTACCTTCTATAAATACCCCAAAGCACAAGAAGACACGGACTTTTTGCCAACACTAAATACAAGCTTACAAGTGAGATCTTTGAGTAGAAATATTCTTTGTTGGTCGTATAAGGGGTTGGGAAAGTTGAGTTGTGAGGTTGCTCAAGCGAAGGTTACTCTCTAGGAGGAGTAAAACCTTGGTGAAGGTGAACCTATCACTTGGAGTGGTAAAACCTTGATAAAGGTTGCCTCACTTGTATAAAGTAGTTCTTAATTGAATGGGTAAGCTTTCAATTGTAGCTAGTTGAGGGTTTACTTGGAGAGTAGTAAAATTCCTTTGCTCAACCAAAGTATGTTTGGGGTGAGGAAGGAGTGAGTCTTCACTTGTATAAGTTGGTTAGCACTACCATCTATTGAAGAAACTATTTGGTGGATTCAACTCCAAGTTTGGAAGAAGCTTGGGAGTTTGATTGGTTTGAATTTCTTTTACTTTATTGTTACTCTATTTTTGTGCTTTAAAATTGCTTATATTTTTTGTCATTATATTTACTGACTACTTGTCTGGTTGAGTATTTTGGTTGTATTTGGTTGCATCGGGGCTTACAAACTTTTATCATTCAATCATCAATTTGTTGCAAATTATTCCATCTTCGCATACAACAGCTCATGGAAGTTCCCAATACCATGTGGGGATTTCGCTCATCATCAACATTAGCGAACATATTTCTCCTTCTCTTAGTTGCCATGATCTTTTCAGTAAGCCATGTTTCAGCTTCTAAACAATTTCAAAATGAAACTGATCGTCTTGCTCTGCTTGAATTCAAGAAGCAGATATACAATGACCTGCTTGGAGTGCTGAACTTCTGGAACCATTCACAGCACCATTGCCAGTGGGAAGGAATCACATGTGGTACTCGACATCAGAGGGTTATAGCCTTGACTCTGAGGCATAAGCACTTTTCCGGTATTATATCTCCTCTTGTCGGAAATCTAAGCTTCATGAGGTTCATCCATCTTGAGGAGAATCAATTCCACGGTGAGATTCCCCAAGAATTCGGTCGCCTCTTCAGGCTGAGAGTCCTGAACCTACCAATCTTTAATAGTTCAGCCGTTGTTGTGATTTCAGTAGCTGGCAATTCCTTGCATGGCAATCTCCCAACCAACATAGGTCTTACCCTACCAGTCTCCCAACCTTGGGGGAAACAAATTCTATGGCAACTTTCCAACTTCAATCACCAATGCTTCTGGGCTTGAAATAAGTTTAGGAATCAGTTTAAAGGCCAAATCCCAACTAATTTAGGAGATCTGACGAATCTTCAATTACTAAATCTTGGTAGCAATCTCCTCGGCAGTCAATCTACAGAAGACTTGGATTTTATTGCATCATTGACCAACTGCAGCAATCTAAGCGTTCTTTCCTTGAGTGTGAATAAATTTGGAGGCAATATGCCTAAAGCCATGGCCAATCTCTCAAATCAACTCACTGAATTTTACGTGGGAGGAAACTATCTATCAGGAACTATTCCAGAAGGATTTGGAAACTTTGTCAACCTATATAAACTTGGCCTTGAATTTAACTCTTTTTCAAGGATTATTTCAAGAGATTTTGGCAAGTTACCAAATTTGCAAGGATTGCGTCTAGACCATAATGACTTGTCAGGACAGATAGTCTCTACCTTATGCAACAACACCAGTCTATACTATCTGGACTTATCATTTAACCAGTTTGAAGGGGGCAATATACTTGACAATGTTCTTATGAACTGTCAAAATTTGCAATATCTGGATATATCTCAAAACAACTTCACTGGAATTATATCACCACATTTTCTGGAGACTCATTCATCATTGATTTACATGGGATTAAGTGAAAATTCTTTTACTGGTTCTCTGCCTCGTGAAGTTGGAAAGCTTATACATTTGGCTGATTTCAATGTTTCCCACAACCAACTTGTTGGAGATATACCCATGTCACTTGCTGATTGTTCAAATCTGGAGAATCTTTTTATGCAAGCCAATTTTTTCCAAGGAACAATTCCACCAAATTTGGCTTCTTTGAAGAGCATCCAGCAATTAGACCTTTCAAGTAATAACTTGACTGGTCCAATACCCAGTGATCAAGGGGAAAAACACTGATTGGCAATGCGAGTTTTCAGCAATGCGAACACTGGAGTTTTCAGCAATGCGAGTCAAATATCACTTATTGGCAACAATAAACTCTGTGGAGGCATTCCAGAATTGGAGTTCCCACCTTGCCCAGTGATCAAGAGGAAAAACAGAGGAAAGCTGAAGGTTATCATATTGCTGTCCATTGTTTTACCGGCAACGCTTCTGGTTCTCGGTGCATTGTTGTTATACTTCTTGGTATATCAAAAAAGAGAAAGAAGAATGGTGGCCGGATTCTCTAGCATGCCCCTAAGAATCGATGAGCTCTTACGGCTTTCTTACCATGAACTTCTTCGTGCAACTTCAGGATTTTCTCCAGCAAACTTAATTGGTTCAGGAAATTTTGGAGCTGTCTACAAAGGAAGGCTAGAAAAACATGGCAACAAGCTTGTAGCAGTTAAAGTTCTTGATCTTCAAAAGAATGGGGCTTCCAAAAGTTTTAAGGCCGAGTGCAAAGCATTGAGAAATATTCACCATAGAAACCTCGTTTCTATCGTGAGTTATTGCTCCACTATTGATTCCAAGGGTGATGAATTCAAAGCTCTAGTCTATGAGTTTTTGGAAAATGGAAATCTGGACTTGTGGCTGCATCCTGCAGAGACAACTGATCAGGCAACATTATCTTCACGACCACTGCGAAACAGAGATTGTTCATTGTGATCTAAAACCAAGTAACATTCTTCTTGACAATGATCTTAGCTTCAGCATTGCATTATCTTCACGACCACTGCGAAACAGAGATTGTTCATTGTGATCTAAAACCAAGTAACATTCTTCTTGACAATGATCTTGTTGCCCATGTGGGTGATTTTGGATTGGCAAGGCTTCTCCCGAAACCCGTCAACACTTCTTCCGAGCAAAGAACCAGCAGTACCATTGCCATAAAAGGCTCAATCGGTTACGCAGTTCCAGGTAATTACAACTTTTTATGGTCAAGATGTCACTTAATTGTGCACAGAAATATAGAACTTTTGGGACATTTAATTCTTTTTAATTTTTTTTTATAATTACTATGAGATCTCTAATCAATGATGCATAGTAGCTAATTTTAGTTAAGTCACTTTGTTATAAAAGAAGATCCATTATGCCCCAGTCTAACATTTGATTAATTTTAATCACTTAGTTTTTTTTTATAGTTTTTCTTTTACTACCCAATAATAACATGTCTAGAAACAAAATCTCAGAGTATGGAATGGGTCTTGCGGCATCAACTCAAGGGGATGTCTACAGCTACTGCATTCTTTTGCTAGAGATGATTACAGGGAGGAGGCCAACAGATGATATGTTCGTGGGTGATCTTGATCTACATAACTATGTTAATAGGGCTTTGCATGAATGAGTTTTTGAGATCGTGGACCCGTTACTTTTTCTTGAAGGAGATGAAAACAGAAATATGACTCCTGTAGGGGAAACTATTAATGGTAGAAGAGAGATGGAGTGCATTATTTCCCTATTCAAAATTGGACTCAAGTGCTCTGCAAGATTACCAAATGATAGGATGCATATGAATGAAGTTGTCAGAAAATTACATCTCATAAAGGATGCTTTCGTTGGTGTCAGGGTGCATTAAGAAAATCTTGAAGCTTAATATCTACAGGTATACACAAGAATTTAACACAGGCCGCAAGTTGAAGTCCATTTTTTCTATATTAGGTAAAGAATTTTATTCTTGACATAAGATTGCAAGCCAACTCGTTCTACCAGTCGAAATCTATTCCAGTCCAAAAAAAGAAAAAAAAATAAGGAAAGAACAATAGTACTAGAATGGACAAGGATGGCTTCTCATACTAATGCATGAATTCTTGATTTGCAGCTGCTTATTGGTCTGAATCTCCAAGCTGAAGCTGTTAATTGGGTGAGCTAATGAAGAAGACACCTTTGGCTTTTTATTTGAAAAAAAAAATAAATGGATGATTCAAACATATTCCTATAGTCTTTCTTTATAAGAATTAGATGTTCTTGGAGGCAGTCAATTCTGCTTGAACATCTTAATGCTTCCATATTGTGCTTGCATAAAATACAGTACATTATACTTACAATGCATAGTCTTGCTCCCATGATTGATTTGATTTACATAAGCACCCCATTTCTTTGAATTTTGATTTTACTACTACATGGAATTTCAGTTACAATGAGAACAACATAAGGGGATCAATTGTACAATAAATTCATATGTCCATCTATTGCTCAATTAAGTCATCTTGCCTCTTAAAGCTATGGATCTAGCCATGGTGGGGCTCATACTTTTATGCCATATCTTGATGATTTTGAATGTAAAATGTTAGTAGGGCCTAGTACGTAACCTTGGCAATATCGGGTTGAAAGAAAAGTTAAAGAAGGAAGTGAAGAGGGACGAGAAATTAAAAAAAAAAAAGAGAAAAGATAAAATGTTAAATAATTGGAGGAACTGCCAAGAAAAAAAATCAGAAGGGAAAACGGCTTTTGACTGAACAATTTATCTATGTACAAGTCGCGTCCTCTGGTTCTGGGAGCCCAACTTAGCATCAAAATTCATGAGAAGCACAAATTGGGTAAGGTATCGATTGGTAACATTCCACCATCGTAGTAATATCTGACTCTCCATTAGCAGGGAAAAAGGAAAGCAAAAAAGTGTATAGGGGGCAAAGTGTAATATGATAGGGTGTTAATTGTTAGTTATTTTATTATTAATTTCCCCTTCGTCTCTGCCAAATATTGTTTTAATTGTTAATATCTACTTATATTTGGTTATGTATGGTATCTGGAATTAATTTCAGGGAATTGAGCAGAAAATTATAAAAAATGAGGGACTTTCTGGAGACAATTAAGACTTCAAACAATCGGGCCCACATGGTGCTACAAACGGATTGCATTTCCTTTGTTGATTAGGAGATTGGAGTCCTACTAGTACTAGGAAACAAAAAGGAAGGAATCCCTCGAGTAGTGCTAGAAGCTTTTTGTTGTTGCTTGCTCCTTATCTGGCGGGGATCACGTAGTGGAGAATAAGTAGTCATTTGTTTAGAATAGGAATAGTTTCCGTCTTTTGGGCTTTGTCCCGTTCCTGGGTTTTCTTTGTTCTACGTTTCTCTTCCGTTTCCTTCTATTAAGACCACTGGAACAAAGCTTTGTTACGATGGTGATTGATTATTAGCGAAAACGATGATGCCTTTGAATTCAATTGAATTGTGTGGAGATTTACTTATGCGGCGTGGTTAAGCTTCTCATCTAGTCAAAGACCAACTTGAAGGCGCGGTTCCAAATATCTGTGAGATCGAATTAATTTTATTTATTTCTTTTATTCATTGGTATTTGTACGTTTCCTGATTTAATTGCTTATGCTTGTTATGTTATTTGAATGTCAATGGCCCAATATTCGAATTAGCCTAATGATCTAATGCCAAATTCATTGATTGAATCCGTAATTGTTCAATTGATTAATACCAGTGGCGACTAGTGTGATTGGTTTCATGTTAGGAAAACGTATGATCTAACTTAAACAAACCCTCATAGCGAGTTTGTTGGTTAGGGTTGGGTTTTTCTAATTATTAATGCAATCGAGTAATTAAATTCTACGGTCGTACCTAGGGTTATTTCTTGGTTAAAGAAATAATTAACCATCGTACCTTAACTATCGAGAAATTAAGGAAAGGCTGGTTGTTCATCGCGTGTATGACAACTATAACCAATCTAGTAATGAGTAATTGAATTATCTTTGCATCGATGATCAGTTGAATGGACCGTGTCTGAAAAGTTGTACCTTTGGCCAGAGTCGTATTGGTTATTGATTAATTATTATTTATTTCTATTAGTTGTTTCATTAGTTAGTTAATTAGTTATTTTATATTTTCCAAAAATCCCCCATGTGCTAAACTCTAGAAGAAACGAATTATCCCCAATCCCTGTGGATTCAACCATGTTCACCGCTATATACAAAATTTGTATTTTTTTTGAGTAGGTAATTATTATTGCACAGGCTCGACACCATGTCAATTTTTGGTGCCCCTGCCGAGAACTGGTGCCTGATTAATTTATTTCTTTTTTAGTTCATCTTGTTTTTCTTTTCTTTTTTTTCTCTCATTTTATATATATATATATATATATATATATATATATATATAGTTTATGGTTGTTAACATTCCATATTTTGGTGATAGACCGAATTTTATTTCTAGAAGGGGTTATGAGACTCATGCTTTTTCTAATGATCAATTGGCTGTTGCAAATTGTGGAAGTTAGTTTGCCCCAGATCATGCAACCGACATATACCCCGCATTTCAAGATGGCCTAAGTATTCCAATCGATACTTTTGGAGATTTTTTACCTCAATATCAAATGTGGTATGATCCTTATTCAAACGGGTATGATCAAGGATGGTGGGATGATTTCAATTTTAATTATGCGATCAGGCCAATGGATTTTCAACAGCAAGATTCTCAACAACCATCATCTATGTCAGGTCCGTCTCTAGAAGAAATGATGAAGCAATTAATTGCTAATAAACAAAAGACGGATTCTGACTTACAAAGTGTGAGAAATCAACTAGGACAGATGCAAGCAATGAAGAGTCAGGCGAGTCAGATGGTGATAGCAATTAACCGCCTAGAATCCCAAGTCCAAGGAAGACTTTCATCTCAGCCTGAAGTTAATCCAAAAAATGTGAGTGCCATGACCCTCAGAAGTGGAAAAGAAATTAAAGGGCCTACGGTTCTGGAGAATATGAGTCGAGATCAAATTCAAAAAGAGATAGAAGATGAAAGGCGTGAATTGGCATCTACACTGAGCAAATTGAATTCTTCAAATTATGAAGAATTGTCCTCACAGATCATCGTCGACGTTAAGAAAGATGAGGATGTATTTATCTGGACAAATGACATGGAATTGCAAGAGTTTCAAGAAAATGGATCTAAAGATGCAGTTGATAAGGAGGTTGAAGTGCAAGAAATGAGACCTTAACATCAACTCGTTCAAGTAAATGAATCCAGTGAACAATCTCTAAATGCGATGATATCTTCTCCATTCCTTAATCAACATTTTTCTAACTCCTATTATTCAACTCCTATTATTGAGATTGATTTTATTATACTAGAAAATTTTAAATTTCATGACAGGAATAAGTTAAGAGTGGCGATGGCAAAATATCTTGAACCGATAAATGCGTGTGATAGAGGAGTGAGTGGAGAATTTAAATCATTGTTAACTTGTTTGGTGTCATTTACTAGTCTATGAAAGACCGTAGCTCATGTACTCAAAAATTACTCTATTTACGAGGGATATTAGGATTATATAGAGGATGAAGCACTGAAACGAGTTACAAGATTTTATCCTCCCTGAACAAAAATGACAATGTCTAGCCAAAAACGTTAAAGAAAGATACTTTTTGGGAGGCAACTCAAATATTGATTTTATTATTTTTCGTTGTTCAATTCTTTCTTTTTGTCGTTTCTCATTTGGGTAGGAGTCGGTCTTAATATTTTTTTTCACTGTGATCAGGACAAGGAATCTTGGCATGCCTACGTTGTGTCAGTGACTCCAAATGTCAGTGGACATTTACCAATCTTGGCGTGCCCACGCCATGTTGGTAAAATCTTGACATCTCACGACGTTGGCAGGAAGTGAAATCTTGGCGTGCCCACGCTGTGTCAGTAATTCCAAAGATCAATGGACGATTTCCTATCTTGGCATGCCCATGCGGTGTTTGACGACCCAAAATTCAAAAAAAATAAAAATAAAAATTCACATTAAGAAAATTCAAAAATTCAAAAAACATTTTTTTCTTGTTCTTCGAAAATTCAAAGTTTGAAAATTTAAATTTGGGAAAAAAATTGGAAAAAAAACATTGAAAAAAAACCCCCCCCAAAGCCATTTTATTTTCTTTTATTTTTTTCCTTTTTTCTTTTTTCTTTTTCTTTCTTTCTTTCTTTCTTTTTCTTTCTTTCTTCCTCTTTTCTTTCCCTCTTCTTCCCCTTTTTCCCTGTTTCTTCTTCGGCCGACACCACCTTGCGCAACTCCAGGCCACCACGCGTGCTGCCATCGCGCACCACCCGCGCGCGTGTCGCTCGCCAGCGAACACCGCTACTTCTCCTCTTCCCTCCATGCACCTCTCTCTCCCTCTCATGCGATAGCAGCGCGACACTGCTCTTCTCGCTCGCCACGCAATCCGCCGCGGGCCTCTTTCTTTCCTTCCGCACGCCGCGAGCTTCCACACCCCATAACCGAGCGCCGCTCCTCCTCTCGCCCGTCACCAGCTTGCCGTCCCCAGGCCGCTGCCCGCGCAAGCCCATAGCCGCTGCCGCCTACCCTGCCATGCCATCACTACTTCTCCAACCTCTCGACGTCTAGGTGGAGGTAGTGTATTGTCTC